CCTGCGTGACGAGGCGGTTGAGCAGGATTCGAGCAATCACCTTGCCCACACAACTCAGCAAGTTGATGCCACGATAATTCGTGCAACATTGCTTGCTCCCTTTGCCTTTGTACAGTGGTAGCACAAGGGCATCCTTCAGTTTAGTAGGCACCTCTTCCTCAATCCAGACGCGTTGCACCAAGTGGTGCAGTCGATCACTGAATGGTAGTTCAAGAGACAGTCAAAGTGTTTCCGCCAGATCTGCATTATGTCTGCAGTCTGTGTGCACATAGCGCCTGAGCTACCATCGATCAGCGTCCTCAGCGGCTCCAATCTCGGTCCATACGCCGCCTTCAGGGAGTCAAAGAATTCCTTGTGTTGACGGCGTTCGCCGTAGCATACCATCTGATTCGCCTTCTCCGTCCATCATGCATTGCTAATGCGACGGAGCTCTCGGGTCAGTCGTCGTCGAATTCACCCAAACTTTCTCTTCTTCCCCAAGTTACTGAGGTCTTTCACATGTGCAGCGAATGCTGCCTTTTTATCCGACACCAATGCGCCAATCGCCGCATTATTTTAATCAAACTAATCAGGCCGCTTACAGTTTGCGCGTCCGATGGTCTTCTCGATAGCAGCTGTCACCTGGTCGCGAATGTGGTACCACAGGTCGCCCACTGTGGCTATACAATCCACATCACACGGACATGCAGCCATCGCCTTCTCCAGCTCAATACGTTTCGCCACAGTACCGAGAGAGAGAATGTTAAATTTACACCGATTCACGGCGGGAGTGCAATATATAAATTTACGAAAATATATGTACAGTTTGGTCCGCACCAACTTGTGATCAGTGCCACACTCAGCTCCACGCAGTACACGTGTCATGCGCACTTCACGCATGTCACGCTGACGTGCGATGATATAGTCGATCAGGTGAGGGTGACCACTTCGTGGGTGCATCCAAGTTGCTATATCACTCTCGCTCAGCGCAAACTGTGTGTTCGTGATCGTCAGGCCATAAGTGGCACACAGTGAGCGCAGCCTGTCACCGTTCGCATTCGCTGAACCAATGCCATGCGAACCGATAACATCTGCCCACACCGGTGCATCACGCCCAACGCGCGCGTTGAAATCACCCAGCAGAAATAGTCGGTCGCTCTTCGGCATAGACAGTGTCACGGAAGATAACTGAGTGTAGAATTGCTCACGCGTGTTATCAGGATAACACATGGTCTTACCGTACGTGCTTATAAAAGTGGCGAACTTACCTCTTCCGTTGAGGGTATGCGGGTGTTCTCCGAGCTGGCTGCTTTAGCTGCAGCACCAATATTCTCACGGGTTACCTCTTCCGAGTCGTAAACCAGCAGTCTTCAGTCGCGTACTGATGTCTGTTGGTTTTCCCGCGAGTTGCCCATTTAGGCGATCGGATATTGCAAACCTGACCCCATGATCACGTGGTACTGAGGTCTCGTTGCCCACCCAGTAGAACATGTAACCAGCACCTGCTTTTTGCAGCTTACCTTACTCAGCGAGCCGGGTCTCGCTTGGCGCCGCAATATCGATGTTGTACCGCACCAATTCCATCGCGACCAGTGCAGTGCGTCGCTCGGGGCGCTCACTCGAGTTCCGTTCCAGTAGTTTGTGCACTTTCCAGCACTCGATGCTGCGTGCTTTGCGCGCAGGCATACGACTGCATTGGTGAGTAATCTCACGCGAGGTGGCGGTTGTGCTTCGGGGGTTTGCTTGAGGGACTCCCCCAGAAGCCTTTGGCTTAGTAGCCTGACCCACATGGCAGTGGGGAACAGATGCAGTTCGGGAATGTGATTGGTTGCTTGAGGTCCGTCACACGCAAACTTTGAAGTACCAGAACGATTCATACGTGTTTTGCGACCGTAGTAGGATACGCACCTGCGATTACGATCAGACGTAGGAGGGCTTTGGCGAGTTTGCTGCAATTTGCCGAGGGGCTGCCTGGTTTGAGGCGGGCAGTAACAAACCATTGAGCACCCGGAGATGCCCTCCCACCGTCAGAGACTGCGTGACGCTCGTGCTCTACACCAATCGAGCAGTGAGCTTATAATCCGTAGGCCTGTTGTCTCCCATGGCTAGGTTATACAGGAAGAGGGCCATCGCTGCTCTACCACTGAGCTACCGAGAGCTGACGATCAGGTGCGGACCGGTAATTCGTGGGACCGGGGTTCGATTCCCTGTCGAGGCAGATTATTGTGTGCAGTTTAATCGTGACTTTTACTTTCTACGAACCTTACACTACTCACAAAATAAATCCACAAGTAATCTACCATCGCCCTTTGTACATCAGAAGGACAGATACTTCGGTCCATTGGGAAGTGACGAGTGAATGATCCAATCTGCAACACCAGGACAGATACTGTGAGCTCATTGGCAATACGTCGTGCACCAAGCGGAAGTCATGTATTAAACTGCGCACCTGATCGTCAGCCCTTGGTAGCTCAGTGGTAGAGCAGCTGACCGGTAATTCGTTGGACCGGAGTTCGATTCCCGTCGAGGCAGACTATTGTGTGCAGTTTAATCGTGACTTCTACTTTCTTCCTGTATTTCCTGTGGGTATGTGTGCGAACCTATGCAGTGCACCCATTGGAGCAATGTAGGCTATGATTTCACCAAAGCCGATCTATCTTTACTGGCCTAATGTTGCAGTTTGTTATCAAGGGTAACGGAGTAAGACAGGTGGACGATGTTCCGGCCACATTTTGGTCATGCGAATGCGACAACACTGTGCAATCCCTCCTCTTGATCATTGGCGTCGTTCACCTTCATCGAAGGCGGTGACACAGTTTACCCTGCCACCCCGTGGGCGTCCGCGTATTCCCATGGGTGTGTAGACGAACCTATTCAGCTGCTCGATTATTGCATCAGTGCAGCCTATCATAACTCCCATAATTCGAGCATCGCCTTATTAGCCTTGTACTGTACACAACTACCAAAATGAGCGACGAACGACAATCGCCCACTGTTTACGCAGTCCTGTTGCATTCGCGTGAGCATAATGTGCTCTGAACATCGTCCAGTTGTTTTACTTCCCTTTCTTTGATAACGGCTTGCAGGAGTAGGCCAATAAAGCCAGACTGCAATGCGTCCAAAGTGGCTTACAAAACGTCCAGTTGAAAGTGAAACTGGACGTTTTGCAAAACAAATTGGACATTTTGCAAACCACTTTGGACACATAGCAACTTATACAAAAAATCAGCGATTTGCTAGCAAGAAACGAGGACTAAGAGGATTAAACTATGTTCAGACTACATTGTAGTCATGCTAATGCCACAAAATTGTGCGAGCAGCGGGTGCCACTGCGAACCGTTTTCTTGCTCGTGAACTTCGATCAAAGACGGTGACTGTCTTTCCCCTCTCTCCTCATCGGTCTTCGCGTAGCTCAAGTACATCTGAATTGACATCTTTGTAATTATTTGACTATATATGTATATGCTTGACGGTTTTCGGTTTGCCTGTCAGTGTGGCAAGCCACAGGACGCCGGCGCCTACAGAGGGACCATGGATGGCTTGCACTGCACCACCCACAGCTGCATCTGCACACCCATATCCAGTGTAAACCCGAAGGAATAAGACCCGGAGGCATGTGGATGGAAGCCACGTTTCATCAACGAAGCCGGCCAACACTCCTTCACAGGCAAACACAAGCACGCTGTATTTGGGAATCAAGCGCATACAAGGCGGTGGCTGGACTGTAGTCCGCTCCACTTTGAGTGCATGGAACCACTCTTCGAGCCTAGCACGGCCACCAGGACCGTGCACCCCGTCCCCTCCAGCAACGACCAACCGTCTCCTGGAGCCAATATGGACAAGGTAGTGGGTAATAGACAGTTGGGCACCTTTTCTACATGCACATCAATTGCAGCCACACAGGGCATATCAAGTAACATCTGCTCACTTGAAACGACAAGATGTAATAAAACAAATCAAATAATGCATATTGATACGGTGGCATAACTCTTCGCTAAATTAGCATATGAATTGAGATGGACTTGCAACAAGTCCGCGATAAGTACAAAATGTCCAGAAGTTAATTAAAAGTCCTACGAACGCGAAAGTTTGCGAAGATAAGCGCAATTGGCGTAAGCAACGTGTGCAAGTTAATAGCAGATTATTCAAGTAGGTAGAACAAACCTATTAAAGTGGAATGAAATTTATCCAGCTTGAAAAGACCAACTTTAATTGTAAGTTGGTTTAGCTCAACTGCTACCAAGACTCATCATGCACGCAACATCAGCCTCAGCACGGGTTATATATATATATATATGTTTATTTATATATATATTTGTATGTATGTTGTATATATTTATTTTAATGTGTATTTATATATTTCTTTATGGTTATATATATATATATATTTATATATATGTATTGATGTGCCGCTTCAGTATCGCAACCACCTATCGTTGGGTCTGGGCGTTGTTAATGGATGGCAAATTTAATGCTAAACTTTTGTCTCCTCACTGCTGCATCCGAAAATGAAGGTACGAAGTGCAGAATATGTGAACTATTCCTTCCTCAGATGTCGATTGCTCTTGCCGAATAACTTGCTAACTGCACTACTGTTTTTCTTGGTGGTCTAGGTATCATTTGCCCGATTTTTACTCGAGTATTTAAACCCGATCCGTGCTCAATTTTACAATACCGTGGGACATAAGAAACAAGATTTTGTTTGTGTGCTCTCTTTCTATCGGAATAGTTTATTTAAATTCTGGTCCTTGTTGTTTCTGGCCGTACGTTAGTGTGGAGAGGAGATTCGGTAAAACTAACACCTGAGTTCAGTATTCCTCTAATATACTACACCATGTCTATATCGTTCATTTTCTATCACCATTGCCGTACGTGATTATCACCTAACGTAAGTGTATCCGTATTGGATGGTCAGTGTCGTCGGTAGCTCTTCGCATATTGTTTGACATCTCTCAAATCTCACAATGGGCATTTATTTCCTTCTAATGTGCTTGTGGGTTCCATGCTCGCTCTGCTCTATAGACGGCCGTTTTGCGCACCGCGGCTTTGTTGCGCAGAAGGACTGTCACTTTATTACCCGGAGATGGGGTTTGGCCGGATTTGTTTAAATGTGTGAAAAATGTCCTTACGGAGATGAACGTCCCCATTGATTATGAAGAGATCCAATTGAGGTACGTATTCTGCATTTTACTGTTGACTTCTCAGTGGTCTTCAGGGTTCCAAGGCCACTGATCTTGACGCAGCTGTTGCGTCTCTTAACAGAACAAAAGTTGGACTGAAAGGTATCATTCGGAGTCCAATTGATAGCCTTGAAGTTGACACACTCAATATGCGAATGAGGTGAGCCATTGTCATTTAAATTCGTGCCATTTACTTTTGTTTGCTTTCTACAGATATGCAACTTTGTTCATGGGAAAACCTTCGGGGCAATATCTGGAAATGATAAAGCCCAAGTCTTGCCGAACTGTTTATGCACACACAACTGGGGTTCTTGAGACGAATCATCATGGTCTCCGCCATTGCAAGGATTTGGCGTCTGATAAGTTTGGAATGAACACCGCTCAGACGGTAGATCGGGGAGCAGGCTTTAGTGACAACGACGGGATGATTCATTTGGATTATTGTGTGACTGTTGCGGTGATGCACGTCCTGTTTAATTTTGGCTTAGCCATGATGGATCATTCAGACGCGTTCAGACGGACATCTCGTGGTGCGACTTATGTAAATTAGTACACATAGAAGGAAGTGGCATCAGCACGCAGTTTATCTTTCAACTAGTGGTGTAGCATGAGCGTGGAGTGAAGATAGTGCGTCACTGTGCGGCTCCACACGAGTTATTGACGGCCACTTAATCGTTTGCTAAGGTGCTCGAAACTGTTGTCTCACTTGGATGGCAATCATCATCATCATCAGTACACTTTAGCTGAGGGTGAGAAACACACCTCAGCTAATGTGCCGCAATACAAAAAGATAAGCGAGTAAAAATTACACTACAAATTACACAAATTACACCACAGAAAATGCGATGTTAAATATTATATTATGCGTATTGCATGAGATCGGGATTGGAGGGGAACCTAAAGGGAAGGGGATGGACAAAGGGACTCACAAGGCAAACGTCATTGGGGCCGGCTCTTCGCTATATCAGCAAGTGTGTTCAACCAAACGAGTTCATCATCCTTGGAACCACAGCCAGGCAGTCGGGATGCACCAACCGACGCCAGTTTCGAAGTGTGGGTTTTCATTCCTATCGACCAAGTCATTACTTGGCCTCCCCTCCTCTTCCAACCGCACCGCCGTCGCGCAAACAATGCACGTCGCGGGAGTCGGTGGGCTGGCATGCGCAGCTCCTGGCCCAGTCATCGAAGCCTTTTGCGTGATATAATGGTACTGAACGGTTCACTCGCTCTTCCTGCACCAAATATGCGACGCCGAACACATTCATTGCTCACGCGGTGCTCCTACCAGACATGAGTAGAGCTGCGAAGGGAGCCATGATCGAAGGTGATTAGCCACTTTTTGTCTGTCGACCTGATGGGTCAGGTTTCACAACCATACAGGCGAGTTGAACGGACGGATGCGTTATAAACTCTGCGCTTCAGGGTGAGAGTAATGTCGCGTCTGCGCTACAGGTGGCGGAGATTGGCAAAAGCGTCTCGAGCTTTTGCTATACGGTTCCTGACCTCATCTTCTATCCTACGGGCGCTACTATAGCTGCCCAGGTACTTGAATTCCTGAATGACTTCTAGCTGATCACCACAAAGCGTTAGCGTAGGAGGTTAGTCCCCGACTTGGATGGCAATGCGAAGTATACGTTCTTTTCTATTGTAGGTGATTTGACGACCACAGTCCGTTCGCATATTCCTGCCAATGAACACTTCGGGATAGCCGTTATTTAGAGACACTTACCCTATTACGGTGCGCTCCGCTTCAATTTTGTCAGCCGCGCACATTTCTGCCGCTCCTTCGACGTGACACCGAACTAGGTTCACCTACGTTTACCTGGTGACACTGATGCAGCTGCAGGACTTTAGCTGGCGTTGGTATAGCGCTTAGCAGCGAAGTTGAGGCTGCACTACAAGACTGGTTCTCGGGTAATAGCCGACCGTGCGCAGTTCCGCTTCCGGGATCATGCAGGATCGGCAGATGTCTCGAAGAGGGACAACTTGTTTGTGATCTCGGTTTACGCCTCAACTGACTGCATTTACGACTCGGTCAATAACGATTTCTATCATGAACTTCACCAGCTTTTGAGAAAAGCTTATAAATCCGATATTGTTGTCCTTGTTGGGGATCTCAACTCACGAGTCGTTCGTCTATCATCATGCGAAAGTCACTTCAGTGGTCAACATGCACTCCACGGACACTGCTCAGATAATAGAAACTTTCCACGCTGTGCGAAGACAGTTGTCTGTTTCTCTCGAGCACCAGCTTCCGCCATTCGAGGAGGCACCTCTATCATGGTCTCATTTTTATCATATCGCAATCAGTTTCGGGTGACGGGTATTGTGAAAGATTTCAGATCCATATGGTCTAAATTGACTCAGACTATACTCATGTATGTGCGAACATCTGTGTGAGTTTCGCAAGGTCCCCGAAAACGAAGCACTGTAAGGTAGATACGAATAATCGATCTACCCTCTCGGTACAGAAAAGCTATCATGCTTCCCTGACCAATGCACTCATTGCGACCCGCCGCAAGACATGCATGAACACTAGACATTCATGCAGGGGACCATGAAATCAGTCTGTGAACTTACTCAACACCCCATGAAGGTCCGGATCTTCACACTAACTTTGTAGCTATTTGAATGTCGTAAAATATCCCAGCGTAGTATACTCATACTGGAGTGCACCTTTCTGTCAGTTGACAGTTGACAAAGCCTACGCAGTGACAGTGAAGCCTGGTGGTCTCAGCTTGCTTCGGAAATGGAGGTCGCTGCTCTTTGACAATATTCGCAAGCTCTTCCAGCTCATTCGATCCACTGGCCACAGAAAACCTAGTGTCAGTGATACTTTGGGAGATGGATGGTGCACTGATTTCCAAGCTACAGAGACGCTTGATCGGATGGGCCGAACATTTTCATTCCCACTTCAATTGGTCCTTATCTGTGTTACGGCGTTGCTTACTAAGGAACGGGGTCCTGGAAAAGTATATTTCCATCCTGTGTGCACTATATCTCCACAGCTCTGGCCGAGTGAGGGTCCATGATAAGGGTATATGACAAGCTTCCTTCGTCCTCCGCTGTCCGCAGCTGTGTACGACATCGCCGTCCTATGTCCCCGTTCCTCTTTGATTTTGCCATTGAAGGTGTCCTGTCGAGAGATCTGGAGGGTTACCAACAATTTGGACTGCAACTTCTGCCGAGTAAACGAGCAACCGACTTAGATTATGTAGACGACATCGTCCTACTTAGTGACGATTCGCAGCGTACGCAGACCATTCTAAACCATGTGGCGATTGAAACATTTATGTACTGAATTTGCTTCGCCGCGTCAAAGTGTAGTGCTGTTTCAGGATTGGCATTCGTCCGTTCTCGTGCTCACTATTAAAGGTACGCAGCTTGAACAAGTGAATGGCCTTGTATATCTGGACAGCTGTGTCTGCTGGTGGCGCTATCAGCAAGGAAATTTCTTTCCGCATCGCCAAGCTTTGTCAACCTGGTGCACTTGTGGCCTCGTCGGGATGTCTCCCTCTTGGTAAAGGGTCGTGTTCTTACAATGCTATTGTTTAGATTGTGTTGCCATATGACAGTGAGTCATGGCCAGTTCGCGTAGATGGCATGCATCGTCTCTCGTCCTTTGATAATGGATGCTTGAGGAGAATTGCTCGTGTGCAGTGGCAACAACGTATCCGCAACAATGCAATCAGACGTCATGTCTTTGGGAATGCAAGTATTCCATTTAACGAGCTTGTTTTGCTTCATTAGTTAAGATGGCTTGGTCACCTCTTGTGTATGCCAACTGAGCGTTTGCCCCATTGCGCCCTTTTCGCTCGTGCAGGACTTGGTTGGAAGAGATCACGCGGTGATCAACCGTCCACCTGGCGACAGCATATGAAATCGTTGATTTCATGTCTTGCTTCCGCCTGCCTTGTTGGAGACCACAAAACGAGGAGTGCCGATGGCTGGAGACAATTCAGGGTATGGCGCGCAATCTTAACCAGTGGAAGATCTGTATGCATACTTGTCTAGATTTAGATGCTTACTCTTCGAGGCTTCATTACGTTGCGCTACTTGCTACACGTTACTCAACAACGCACTGATGATGTCTCCCTGATTGGTGACGAAACGTTTGCAACCTACTTGCCCAGCTCAACGAACAGTTTGACTGCCACCAGCACAACTTGAGCTATCATTTTTCGCTCTTTTTCCGAAAAAGAAAAAATGGGTTGTACAAAAGAATAAAAAACCCTCCTTTTTATTGCGGCTCAATAGCCGAAGTATGTTGTCCACCTTGAGTTACTGTGCCATGGTGATGATATGGTGATTAAACCACTCTTCTAGCGAGGTCATGGTTTTGTTTGGATCTACGTGCATTCGGTAGACTTACTAATACATACATATAGATCCGGTTTTTGTCTGATTGACTTAGCGCCCACCAGCCATGGACGCAAATCGATCACATCGCGATCAATTACCGCTGGAGAGGCTGCGTTCAAAACTGTCGCTCGATTTGGAGCACGAGCGTGGACTCCGATCACACCCTTGTGTGCGCTCACCTTCAGATGCGTTTCTGCGCACTTCCGCAACGTCGCTGTGACCACATAGACAGTAGCAAACTGGAGAAGTTGGGTGTTCTGAATGCGTAACAAACTACGCTGGCATCCGGGCTGAGTAAGCGCCCACTGAACACCATTGAAGGTAACTGGTTGCATATTCGTCAAACCTTACTATAAACAGGCATGTCTTCATGTGGCAAATCAAAATGCCAGCCTGGACATTACCTCTGTACGCAGTCCGGAATTTACGGATGTTCACTGATGTATACCGGCTGGAAGCGAATACAATGAGACTCGTAACAACCTCAGGACAAAACTGTGTGCTAGCCTGAAGAGAGATTGGGAAGTCGCGTTGTCTCATCATGCGTTGGAAATAGGCATAGTCACTGCCGTTGGTAATCATCGTAATTTATTCCGTCTGATACAGGAAACAGGGAGCAGAAGACCTGATGTTAGCAAGGCTATACGTGACGAGAGTGGACGGCCGTTCCACAGCTTGTCAAAACGCGCAGAAATCGGACGTGAGAGATCAAACTTTTGGAATTGCCTAACGCCGCAGGCGAAATTGAATTCCCTCAACCCTTTTCAAATTCGTGGGACCTGTTCTTGTAGATTATTT